CCTCCAACAGGTGAATGTGGGAGGAAGTCCAACGCGTGAAGCTAGGGTCTCGGGTCGATTGCCAGGGGAAATCGTGGTGCGAGCACTCCCTCCGACCGATTCGAAGGTCCTGCCATCATGTTCGGTTTTCTTTCTTTCTCTGTCGTCAGAAGAATGGGTTATCTTTGCGTGTGCTTATGCCTATCATTACGCCCCATCCGCACCCTCACTCACGTCATGGATGAAGAAATTAAGGCCAGTTCTTGCACCCTTCATTGTTTCCATCTCTCAAGGATTGCGGTGCTGAGTTGTGCATTCGACGTTGGACGATCCGTATAATTTAGGCGAATACGTTTTTGTCGTCATGCATCAATTAACCCATGCCAAATGATGCGCTTCGGGAAAGAGGAAATTCTCCAACATAACCAACTCTAAATCTGATCAAGTCCGCTGACTGGTTCTGTCAGCGGACGAAGGTTCAACGCGCCAAAGAATGAGACACATTCATAAAAATCCCCTGAAGACTTTAGCCTTAAGCTAAAGTCTAGCAGACATTAACTCATGGACTCATGAAAGGAATTTTCCGATAGTCCGCCATTTGAGGCGTATGTCAAAAATGAATTCGGGTTAATAGAATTAGAAGATTTTGAAACTTTTAAATCCTGCCGTACAAATTATCCCAATTTTGAAATGACGAGTTTCCTCACTTATGTACGCTTGTAGACTTGGAAACCTTAATGTTTATTATTTTGATTGGCACATTTTCCGGCGACGAAGTTTGCCTTTCCTGCAGAGAAGACATTATTATGAGCTTCGATACTCAGCCTAATAAATCCAAAATAGTACTGCAATTCCCATTGATGTCCTTGGGCCAGTCATGAGTACCTGTCATTATTTGTCATTTCCGCTCGTCCTCGTCGGCCCCCTCTTGACGGTCGAAAGAGGACTCATATTTCTTCGCTCTGCTAATAAGCGTTAGGGTTGCCCTCGCTTTCGGCTTTGTGCAATCGACACTGCTTCGATCATGCGATACGCAAGAAAAAGGGGAGAACGAGTTTCTCAGGCTAAACGTACCCAGTTCCTTGGAAACTGGAAAAATTGAAGCGTTTCAATACGATAAATGAGGAACTTCCCCTGGAATTATTTGCTCTGTGTCGGTGTCAATGCAGATATCCTCAACGATTGCATTTGTGACATGACAGAAAATGAGAAAGCGACATCACCTCAAGTACTTATTCGAAGGTCAATTAGGAAGCTATGTCCTTTTTTTTCAAATTTGGGCTCTGAAGATACAAGAAATACCTACTAGAAACATCGATCGATCGACCCGAAATATTGATGGTGTATTGGCGCGTCAGTAGATTGAAGGCGCGGCGGAGGGGGTAGGAGGAGGATGGGCACGTGGAGGGTTGGGGGAGGGTGGGTATGTGGACGGTTGGAGGGTGTGGATAATGGCAGATTCAGTCATCTCTCGTTCGTGATCGGGGAGGGTGTGGCCATAGTGATGGGCAGGAAATACATCGATGCCTCCAGCTAACTATTATAGCATAGATGTCTTGGTCAATGTATTGTGAGTGCTCTTTTTTAGTGAAAATTTTTTTCCTATAGATATTCAGAAGGATTTCCCCGGCCGTGTCCACACGTTTTTTTTGCTGTTTTCCTTCGTTCGCAAATATTTCTTTTGCTGATCGGCATCAACGGTTTGCAATCTTACCGTTGGTAGATTACGATGGCTGCCGAAAAGCATATTTTATTCCTAACCCATCTGCGCAACTCTCATGCGATTCATTTGTTCCTTGCAGTAGCTTTGTGATAGTTAAGCCCCAAGATTTCCTCAAGATTGAAACGAGATTAATTTTTTTCGGATTTTTCTTTTCCTGTTACTTAACTAAAATGCAAAATTCGATGCGATCGGAAGAAATGCAGGCAACTTCGCTTTCTAAGAACCTATGAACAACCTGAGACAGTAAAAAATTTCCCCTATACTCATTCGCCATATTAGAAGCGATTTTACACGATCCAAAATGCGTGCGGAATTACGTCCATTGGAATATGTAAGTGGTCCAAACAGTGGGTTTCTCACACATACTCGCCAAAATAAAGGAACGTGTGCTTTCTTTGGGAATGCACCCGCCAAAATTATATTTTTTTTGCAATGGCGGAGGAGTCATTCTCATTTTTATTAACAGATGAGGCTGTTCGTTCCATATTTGGCGTAGCTCGCCTCTACTCCAATTTGGTCGGATTGATCAGATTATTAAATATTATTTTCCGCAAACCCAACCTTGAAGTCCTTTGGTGGGACCGTCGACTTAATTGAGGCTGTCACTTCTCGGCGGTAGAAGTTGCTGTTGGGCATCGGGAGTTGTTTCCGCGGATCACAGGTGTTGCTCAACCGAGAGTTCACAGATGTAGAACAAACAGTCACAGTGTAGATGAAGAAGTCCGCGCTGATTTTTTTTTAAAAGAAATATTAAAAAGTGCACGAATGGTTCATTCCATGAAGAATTGCCCTACTCATTATGAGTGATGGCCGAGCCTCTAATTATTTCTTAGAGGGGGGAGAGGTACCGGGATATCTCAATTTATACAGTGTATGGGGATAACAGCAAAATATGCAGGAAGGTTCCATTTGAATGAAGTTCATTGATGCCATGAAATCTTCACTTTCGTTCATTGAAGCAGCACATTAGAAATAATCTCTCTCTCTCTCCCTCTCCCTCTCTCCTTCTCTCTCTCTCCCTCTCTCGAAATACGGAACTCCAATGCTATGGTTTGAGTACCCTTCCTTAAATGAGAAAGTTGTATTTTCTTATTGACTTCGTATGTAGTTTCTCCTTTATTAATCTTAACAAAATTCCGGAATAATTTTAATGACACTGAAACAAAGCAAGCAATGGAACCATGTACGGCTCAACGTAATTCCAGCTGGAAGTCAGGAGACCTGATCTGCACGGTGTTTTTCCGGAGGGCCAAGAACCGTCCCGGCGTGATTTCAGCCGCCGTTATCCAAAGGAGCCAGGGAAAGAACCAGGCGACCCCTCCCATCATCTCGGCGTGGCCTCCAACGGGTGAATGTCGGTGGAAGTCCAACGGGCGATGGTAGGGTCTCGGAACGATTGCCAGGGGAAATCATGGTGCGGGCACTCCCTCCGATCGATTCGAAGGTCCTGCCATCATGTTCGGTTATATTTCTTTGTTACTCTCTGTCGTAAAAAAGGAAGGGTTGTCAATGTTGGTGCTTATGCCTAACATTACGCCACACCCGTGCCCTCACTTGCGTCATAGAATAAAAAACTAAGACTTGTTTTTATTGCACCTATCGTCGCGTCCATTTCTCAAATGTAGAAGTGATTAGTAGTGTATATCCTCGTTCAGAAATTGGTAAGGAATAATCCACCTGTCGTAGCTTTGCCATCATACCTCAATCGAATATCGTCTGGTGGTGCAAATCAGGAAGGTGAAAATTCTCCAAGACAACCAGTCCTGAATCTGATCGAGCGATCATGTCCGTGGACGAAGGCTTCACGTTCTGAAATAAGGGGATTCATGCATAAAGACTCTGTGGAGTCTTCAGTCTTCGACCTCGATCTGAGAAGTTCACAATGCTTCCCATGAAACTGAATGAATTTGCAGATAATCTGAAGTTTGAGGCGTACAGTATTTTGAAAGGAGATTAGTTGGGGGGGGGAGGGTGGGAGGTGAGGGGAGAAAGGTGGGAGGTTTGGGAGGGGAGGGTGTAAGGTTGGGAAGGTTGGAATGAGGGTGGGACGTTGGAGGTAATGGCGGATTCTGTCAACTCCCGTTCGTGATCGTAGAGGGAATGACCATTGTGACGGGTAATAAAAACTTCGATACCCTAATGCAAGTGTGTCAAACTGGCGGACCGCAGGCCGGATCCAATCAATTTTGTCCGACCTTCCGAAATTCCTTTTTAGCAGTTGGTTACGGAAAAGTGCTGTAAATTTCAGCCTATTTGCATTAAAGATTTGTGTTTTTATTGTGTTCTCTTATAATCCCTAAAGGCTTCCATCCGGCCCCAAGCCTCACCGAGTTTGACACTCATGCCCAAATGGATAGTAAGAGCCCTACCTATTTACCATAACTGCTGAGAAACATTTGGCAAGCAACGCCTTTTTTCGCCACTGGGCATCGGCGTCGACAGTATGCAAACCTACCGGTGAATCGACGAATTGGCATGACTCTAATTTGATTCACTTGCCCATAGGAGTAACTTTGGGATAATTCGATGTAGTGAGATTTGAAATGACCTTTTCCCAAGATTGCCTGAGAAGCAACAATCGCCTCTAAAAACCATGAGGAATTTCCGAGGAAGCTCGTTCTTTATTGAGAAAAGGATTCAAATAGTGTGGGGCATTTCCCAGTGAAGGATATGTCGAAGCGGACGGAATCCTCTGAATAGCGTTATCTCCTCATCCCTTCCTTCCTTCCTCCCCTGCGCCAAATATTGAAAATGTGTCGCATCCAGATGCGCCCTGGTTTTTTCGGAGCCCCCCGGGCCCTTGCGCCACGGTGGAAAAATGCTTCCTATTGCCTTTGGGCACGTCCGCGCTCCTTCGTCCCTCCGGCGTCCTGCTCCAGCCGACCCCGCCGACTCATCTCGCCTTCTCCTCGATGAATCATTTTCCATCTCATTTTCCGTGCAGAACAAAAATTTGAAAAAATCTGACCATTCTTGTGAACGCTTAGGAAACATACCTCTTTACCTTCCGATGCCTCGACGAATTAATAGCTATCAACAACTCCTCCATTTCAGTTAGATATGCAAAGAAAGCTCGAGATTGTTACTCACATGTTCATATTTGGCATAGGGACGCTCCTTGGTGTCGCGGAAAAAAAATTAGCATGAGTTCCAATGGAATTCATCAGCACACGTCGGAAGCGTGGTCTGTAATCGTGATAGAGAAAACTGGCACTTCATGAGTTATGGAGTCATTCGGTCTAGAGGGAATAATGGGCCTTTGGACAGTTCATTTCAGTGCGGGAGCCTCGCTTCCACCTCAGCAAAAGACCCAGTCGGGGTGCTCCTTCGGCCTGTATTTCAGCGGGCATTCCTGTTTGAATTGATGGTGTCTGGGGCCCGAGCCGAGCCAGAAGCCTCCTTCCCGACGGGTCGGGTAGGGTCTCATCGCCCCGCCGACGAATTCGTCGCAGTTGAAGCTGGCGTGCACCATCTGGAACAGAGAGGGTGGATGGCCTTCGATGGATGCTGTTGCAGCCGTTGGAATAAGTGCGGGACTCACGAAGTGCTGCTGGGCTTCGTTCCACAAAACGTGATGGAGAAGATACTGATCCAAGCCCCCGTCGTTGCTGGGTTCGCTCTCGAAGAGCATTTTTCTCCCCAGATAGTGGACGAAACTTCGATTCTGCGACACCTTTGCGCCCCAAAGACCTGTTAAAGTGCATGCATATGATACATTAACAGCGCCCTGACACGCTCAGGTGCATGTACATTGAACAATTTTAATTCTTCAAATTGAATGAGGAGCCACAGAGGCGCCATCGCTTTACTTTGCCTGGCAGGTTCCCGGAGTTCAACGAAATCACCCCTATAATAACTCCTATATATAATATAATAACTAAATAACCGGAAGCCATTCACATCCATTCGTAACGACCTCGAACCACCCACGGAGCGGAAACTTCCCCATGCGGCATCGTGCGTCGTGAGACTATGCTTGCTTTCGACGTTCCCTATCCAGCATACCGAGACATTTAAATTCCGTCGTCGTTTTTGATCTTCTAAGCAAATTCAACTTGGAAAACCGGTAATTTTGACCAACTGGATCGTTTTCGATATTTATTTATTTTTTCACATTTATCCCAGAAGATTCTCGGAGTACAGCCCGAAAAAGCCACAAGGAAATAACATCGAGGTGTCCGCAATACATTTGCGGTTTTCTAGTGGTTTTTCCTGAACATGCAACGATGACTTAAATCCCCAGAGAATAAAATTTCCCATCGCACCAACACAACGAAGTACTACTTTTTTTGTAGTCCGAATGAAATTCATTATAAATGCTTCTTCCTGCACATATTCCGGCCTCAGTGCTTACTCGAAGGGCAACACCACAGCATGTCACCCAGCTGCTTAAGACATATCCCTTGTCACGATCAGAATCGACCAAGTCCTCCAGGAAGGCAAAAGCGTTTCAAGTTGTTTGCATTTCTGAAGGACTTGAGAGAGAGAAAAAAAAAAAAACAAAAAGCGGCTCACCCACGAAGACAGGACCGTGGTGAGCCGAGTGATCCTTCATCGCGTGGAAGAGATACCCGGACTCCATCCATTCCTTCACGGCCGCGGACTCACGCTCGGACACCGGGGAATCCGAATCCCTAATGAAAGGCGGAAATCTTCGGTTGTGCTGCGCGGAATGACGTTACAGCCCTTCCCGCGATCAGCTCCATTCGAATCGAGGAAATCGCCGATGGAAATGTGAGGTAAAAATGAGAGGAAAAGAAGATAAGGAATCGAATGGAAAGGTCCTGCCCCCTTGAATTGCTTTCATTCAGTCTTATCCTCCTGGAAAGGTCACATTCTTCAAAATAAAAATAGATGAAAATTAAGGAAATTAATCCATCGTTTTTTACATTGCACATTGCACTAGTTGAAAAAAAAATTGCTTGACCTGTCTCGCTTCCCCTCAGGGGTCGCGTCCCCCCAAGTTTGAGAGACCCTGTATCAATTAAATATTCTCAAAATGACCCCCATTGCAACTAATGTATTCACGAACGCTCCAAGCACGATACGAGACCGCTCCATCCACTTGCTTGGCTATAACCCGTACAACTACCTGTCTATATCCGACCACGTACGTACGTCTCCTTGAAGCAAATGAATTCCGGGACGAGCGATACCCTCAGGGAGTTACAGCCCCAGGAATGCGCCCAAATCTCGTATTTCCGTCTTCTCTAGACAATATTGGAATTAGCTTCAGCCTATGTAACTCACTCGCTCACGATCGTCGACATGCATTAGATGGCAAGGCCATAATGAGAGAAACTTTGTAATTTATTTAGAACTGTAACCCATGAGTGTTCACGTTAACACTGACTACTCATGAAAACTTACTTCGAAGTAATTCGACTTAGTCAAACAAGGGCAATTCACTTTTGTGCCAGAGCAACTCATGATGAGGTTTGGACTCCTGGAACATGAAATTCCCAGTCATGAGGGTTGGAATATATTTCATCACAAATCTTACTATTTGGATTGGTTGCTAATGGAATTGATTTATATTGGGAAAATTGGGCCCTTTTGCCGATTTTCAATATGAGCAGAAAAAAATGAATTGGTGCCATTGAGAACTCATTTATGCGAGCAATTGCGAAGATTTCCTGCCCAGAGGTTCCTGGGAAACCAACAATCACAAATGTACCTTTCCACGAATCAAATCAAGTTCAAACTTGAGACATCCTTGAGCTTCAATTAGGGGGATATCCCACGCCGTCCCTCCAGCTGCACATCGCTGGCGGCAGGACGGACGGCGCCTGACCTAGACGGCGCCTGACCTAGACGGCGCCTGACCTGGACACGAAGGTGTCGACGAGGGGGTCCATCATGGGGAGGTATCGCCACACCCTCCCGTTGCTCTGAGTCGTCTGGATGTCTCCGACGATACCGGGGAGGTTTTCCACGTGGCAGAAGTCTAGATTGGGGAATTTGTCTTCCAGAGTCTTCATCCAAGACGCAACTTGTTCGTTCTCCCTCGAGTAATTCGTGTATATCCTCATCACCCAGCCTGCCGTCATGAAGCAAGAGGAATTGCAGGTAGAACATGCGCTAATTTAATGATTTTATGAAGTGCTACTATGTTTAATTGGGAGCTGTCGAAGGCCGAAAATTAATTCTTGAATTTAGATCTCACTTTACATCTCGGCTTGGGGAATTCCTTCGTACCTGGGTACCACTTATTGACGTATTCGGGGATCCCAGATATGAGCTGCTCGTACGGACCCGCCGCTCGGGATTTCCCTCTGACCCCGTAGAGGCTGTAGGAGAGAACCTTCTGGTGCGGGCCGCGCAAGATGCTCCGCCGGCCACAGTAAATCTCCGTTCCCGGCCCGACCATGACGTCCGCGAACGGGCGGAGCCGTGTGAATCTCGAGCCAGCGGAACGATACAGGTAGATGGTGAGACAAGCGCCGAATGCGAAAATTGCACACGAGCCAGCAATGAAGTGTCGGAGACGACGCTCCATGAGAATTTACGGCGAGACCGTCAGAAATCCTGTAGCAAAAAAAAATTCACAAGAAACAAATAAAAAAAAAAACAAACGTGGAAAGTAGAAAGTATCGAACTTCATTTCTTATTTTGCTGCACAAATACGTTTTTGCAGGAAGTTATAGTCTTGGTTACTGTTCGTGCTAAATAGACGTCAGCGCACAAACACTAACGATGTTCGTATGATTGTGAAAACATTTCGTTTGAATTTGATGAAATTTACACAATGTAAGAGAGGGCTAATTATGAATAATCGGAAATGAAGGAAATTGGTCCTGTATAGACGTCCATCAAAATATTTAAAAAATTTCCCTCCACATAAACGGTGGCCACAGGGCCGGATTAAGGGGGGGGCAAAGGGGGCAGTTGCCCCGGGCCCCACTCTTCCAGGGGGCCCCCGAAAGGAAATTAAAAACGTTAAGTTCAAAAAAAGGTATTGTATTTGCGTAAAGTAGCTGGGGGGGGGGGGGGGGGGNGTTGGAGGCGTAGAGTTTCAGGTCGTCCATGAAGAGAAGGTGGTTCATGCAGTGGTCTGCATTCTTCCCCTTTCCTACGTAATAACCACAGTCAGTCCGAGCTAGCTCAGTACTGAGAGGGTTGAGAGCCAGACAGAAGAGTAGAGGAGATGAGGTTTTACTGCGATGTACTGCGATGAGGTTTTGACTCCAATGTTGGCTGAAATCAAAGAGAAGTGCCCAACATTTGTCTTCCAGCAAGGTGGAGCCTTTCTCAAGAGAAACTGCCCTGCCTTCATTGAGCCTGAGAACTCGCCACCATGCAGCCCAGATTTGAACCCGGTCTTTATCTGGACTGTTTTGGAACAGAAAGTTTATCGAGGTGAAAAAACACGTTGAACACCTGAAACAGACGATTTGTGCAGCCTGGGAGGAGCTTCAACAGGCTTGGATTTCAAAAGTCATTTCCAAATGGCGCAAGCGACTGAGTGCCGTAGTGGGTGAAAATGGTGGCCACATGGAACACTTTATCGAAAAGTAAAATCTGAGGTCAGTTCCTACTGCAGAAAAATGCGTTTTTGTTTTTTCCTCAATTTACAACTTTTTTTCAGTCATGGTTGATTCAAATGGCCATGGCGGCCATGCCATGGCACGTATTACAATGAACCCATTGACTCTTTTAAAGAGGAAGGAACAAGCTTTAATTTGCTATTTTTTCGAGCCTATGGCTCCTATAGTTGTTATGTGCAAGTAAAAATTGGTGCGGAATTTTTTAGCCCACCCTGTATGTATAATGATATTTGACCGTTATTTGACAAAATTGACTCTTCGCGACCCTACTAAGGACTCCCCGCGATCCCGATTTGGGTCGCGACCCGAGGTTGGGAACCAAAGTTCTAGCCATATCTTAATGGACTGGGTTCGATCCTCCTGCAGAGATGTTTAGGCTAAGGATTTCTTTAGGTACAAGCAAAACTCACGGAATATATCGCTTGTATCACACCGGGTGGATGGATCGCAACTGATACGAAGTCATCGGCAGGACTTCGTGTGTTTCAGTTAAGCTCATCGGAGATACGTTCCTAGGCCTCTTTGGTGAGAGTGCCTCATATCGCTCTCTTCCCCTCCCTTTTCGGCGATAAGCGACAGTGCACTGGAAATGGGGAATTCCACTTCCATCCAGAATCCCATGGCCGATGGAAAGCATGAATACTTTTCACCCAACAAAGCAAATCGGTTCCCCATATACATCAACGAGATCAGAGCCTCGTGAATAATTTAACACTGTCAGCTCGGTTCGTACGAATGGGGAAAGACGTGGAACATGCAGCCAACATCGGAGTCACGATTCACAAATCACCTTTTTTTTATGAAGCAAGCTCCCGTCTCCCATAGGTCAGACTCGAACATTTCATTTGTTCCATCTAACAATGGGACTGATATGGGAAAACAATGCGACCTTTGAAGAACTCTCTCGCGCTCGCAGGCTTCCTTGCGTCGTTCGTGAGCTCATTCAAAGGACTAAAGGTGATGTAATCAGTAAAAAAAAAACTGCGTCATGCAATTATACTAGTAAATTCTGCATTTTGAGATGACACCCCACGAGGGAACTGCTCTAATGAAAGTCTTTGCAGTGTGAACGCAAGTGGCGAGGAGCCGACGAATTGCCCTCATTTCATCACGGACCCTTCAAATCCCTGCATTGGAGGGAGGCTCCTCGGATGATTAGAGCTTCGTCGGAACCCCAAGTTCTTATCTCGAAGCGCTTGGCCTGTAGAGCTGTCTCGCACACGCAAACGCGCATTTGTCGCTCGGCCTAGCTAGCGTTGAGGATCGCGCACGCTATATGTTTAATTTCCGGTCTTCCAGTTTGAATAATTTGCGAAAATATATTAATAAAATAAGGAGTCCGAACGACCGCTCTGGGGGAACTGCATCTAATATCTTCTATAGGTTTTGGTGTGCGGATTCAGCAAAAATGCTCGTAATTTTTCTAGCCGATTTGAATTGTATAATTCAAAGAAATTCCAAAAACTGAATTTGGCTTGATCCATCGCTAGGGCCCTCAGCAGGTCTCCAATAACGTAAGTGACGTAGAGGATGAGGGAAGAGAGGAATCCAATTCAGATAAGTTATTGAATAGGCCATTAGGAATTGAATACGGTTTTAGTATTGGATATAGCGTAATGAATTTACCATTGAGTTGGGCATTGAGTATCCTAGAATGCTGAGAGAATGGAGCGTGCATGTTCCAAGAGGGAAACGAGGAAACGCAGCCTCATTATGTTCGTCATAAAGCACACTCTCGTTGGAGTGATGGGATCGCGTTCGAGTCCGGCAACGAAGGCGTGTTCGCCAAGGATGAAACTGGTGTTTCGTTGCACCCGTGTGGAGACGGCTTTGCAGGCGGTACAGGGTGGTACTGCGGAGATGACAGAGCACCGAGCAATGCCGCGTTTTATCGAGTCAAGGTGAGGCCTGTTCTCATAGATAAAAAGTATTGGGTTGGAAAGAAAGTCTTTCAACACTGCGCAAATTTTTAAAAATTGTATAACTTCATTGAAATGCAATTTCAGCCTACAATGTAATGATCATTGTTGTCTATGACATCTTCCCAACGCACGGGTAACTGCTCGATGCTTTTGCCCAGAACTCTGGCGATTGCGAAGCGAAGAAACGGCCGACATCATTTTCGAGCCGTGCTCGATCGTCGATGGCCTTGTCCCGCAGGTGATTCTTGAGGGCCCGGAACAAGTGAAAGTCGTAAGGGGCCAAGTCCGGAGAATACGCTGGATGGGGTAAAACTTCCCGGCCCAGTTCCGAAATCGTCTGGCGAGTCATCACAACACGTGGACGAGCGTTGCCGTGCAGAAGGAGAACTTTGTCGCGTTTGGGACGCTCTTTCTGAATGACACCAGCCAACTTCTGAAGTCGAGCAGCGTAGACGACGGCAGTCACGGCGGTACCGGTTGGCAGGAGCTCATAGTACAACATTCCTTCTGAATCCCACCGACAGCAGAGAAGAACCTTCTTCTCGTGGAACCCTGGTTTCCGTTCGTGTGGCGGCAATTCTCCTCGTGGAAGCCACAGACTCTTGCGAGTATGGTTGACGTAGAGGATCCAGCAACGATTTCCTTCAGAAGGTCCTTTCTGTGCGGACGAAGAAGCAGTAATTCGCAGACACCGACACGGCTTGCTTTTTCAGAGTCGCCGAGCCGATGAGGGACCCATGTCGAGTAAACCTTCCGATAGCAGAGGTCGTTCAGATGGTTGCCGATGGCCATATGGGTGACTCCAAGTGTAGTCGCCGATTCGCGAGTGGTGGCGTTCGGCTTCGCGTCGAGGGCGTTCCGCAGGGCTTCGTCATCGACTGTCGATGGACGTCCTGAGCGTGGTCGATCTCCGAAGGTCGTGTCGCCAGATTCCAAGCGTTTCAACCATCGAGACACCGTGGAATAGTGGACGACGTTGCCCTTGAATGCAGCGCAGATCTGCGGCGGATCTCGCAGAGTGTCCTTGGAGGAACTCGTAGTAGACGATGGGGCGAAGAGTTGCTCGTTCGATCGGAGCCATGGCTGTCAACTAATGGCAGAAGCCGCCTTATATACCCCAAGGGCAGAAGCTTCGAGAACATTCCAGCATATACAAATGCAAAGCCCCGCCCATCATTCCTCTAAAAATTTTTAGAAATAGTTTTAGAAATTGTTGCAAGACTTTCTTTCCAACCCAACATAATGAAGGCAAATAGGGAAAAAAGTATTACCTAAGATCCATTACTTAATGGAAGGGCGCAGTTTTCTCTGACAATAGCGATATTACCCAAGTTCAAACTTTGCATTTCAGGCTACTTCTATTCGCTCATCATGTAAAGAATGTATTGCCTAAGGGCAATGCATTCTTTCCAGACTGCAATCTGAACCTACCAGCGGAATAGAGGGTATGGAAGTAACGAAGAAAGACTCAGCGATGCGTACGAGACTGCGTGCAAGTCGAGGGACACAACAGAGGAAATGGAAAGAGAAATGTTTTCGCGGATATCGTAGAGTCCGCCTGCGTGAACTTTATCGAGAGACATTTCCATTCGACTGAAATGCACAGTTTAAAATGTGGAAGGGGTAAAAATGGAACCGTTTCTCTTTCGCTCCATTTCCCTTTATCAGTGGTTTTCTTCCTTCGACTGTATTGCTAACAAAGTGGGTGATTACGAATTTTCTTAATGCATCTCTCAAGAATTTCTCCTATCATCAACGGCGGATGGGAAATCGATATGGGCTTGCGCATTCCATTCATAACGTCGAAGACGCTTTACATTTAATTCGAGGGTGAGGGGAACAGTATTTGCTTAATCCATTATTTCCAATCGATGAGTAGCGGTTATTGGAGTGACAGGCGGAAGGAAATAACGCTGATTGAATAACCCACTATAGGAGACGTAGATCGCAATGCTATTGAGAGCAATTCAAGACGCCATTGCAGGGCTTTATGGAGGAATGCATTCCCATGAAGTCCACGAAATAGGTCAGGCAATCGGTATGGATTACGGGTGAAATCAAAGGATTATCCAGGAAAAATCCATTAAGTGTTTTTAAAAAGCGGGAAATCAATGAAAAATGGAATCGCAGTGAAATGCTGAGACGGGGAGGAACTATTCGACAACTAAAACGCATTTAATGAACAACATTCTGCAATTTCGGCTGGTTTCTGCCTTCGTGCTAATTAAGTGCTGCTTTTTTTACTCGAAATTTCCCCGGATTTGCCGAAATAGCCGAATTTGAATCGCAGATTCCTTCTTTAAATGTGAAGGAAATTTCGCTTGATCGCCTCTTACCATCAACATCAATTAATGATGTAGGCGGCTCCGACGTGATTTAACGTTAATGACTTAGTGCTTCTCTAGCGGTCGCACAAGCTCCAAATATTACTGAGGCAACTGAGGAATTTATATGTTGATGAAATAACACTGTTGGTCGAACATTTCTCCAGTTATTATTACTCTAGGTCCTTTTCCTAATGGGACAAAAATTCTAAATTCTGTTCCCTTAAACGCTTATTAGGCAATTGATACTCGATGAGCAATATCTGAATATAAACCAGAGTGGTATGGGTGGGGTGACAGACAGCATACGATCTCCAGCACTGACGTCAAGTGTCCACTCAATATCCCGCGTCTTCTCTCAGGTTTCTCCTCACTATTCTACAATTCGACTCCCTTGTCCGACTCACTCACTTGACATACCCGACTCGACCCGACCCGACCCCCGCGACTCTTCCGCGCGACCCTTTTATTCCGTTATGCCGGACATGCGCATTATCTTTTACGGTGATTTCTTCATCTTTATAAAAGTACCTCCTACAATGAGGCATGTTCCAGAGGGAGTTCAGGGAATTTCCTGCAGCTCGATATCGACTACCCCTTGTGAAAATGAACGAAATCAATAGTCATACTGGGAGAAGAAATACAGAGGATGGGCCTCATTTCGCTTCCTCGCAAACCAAGAGAAATGGACATTCCATGTCCGGCGAAGGGTTTATAAATAATTTTCCATTCATCAGCGGAATACATGCTGTTTTTATGACCCACAAGAATCAGCTTCCATGGAAATGCAGTGTCTTGTGTCTCCCCCGGATTTCTACCGAAGGACACTGCCTCAACCCGGATTTTTCAGTTTGAACTGCCACCTCGTGATTGACCTTTGAACAGACATTCCATGGTCATTTAACGGCAACGAATTATCTACATAACATAAAGGAAATGGTCAACTGTGAAGGACGTACCCTTTTCATCATCGTTTGGAAGTCTTTCGTGCTGGCAAATTCGCCGAAGACTTTGCAAATAGACTGGATAAAAAATGATCCTTTTTCCACGTCCCTCCCGGCGAAGTGATCTGGGAATAATTGCAATAAGACTGAATTAACAGGTTTCATATGATCTAATGTGGAAATGATTTTATAAATGTACGGTTGTTCCAAAACCCAACCTAGATATTGGAATATCACAGCTGACCAATAGAAAGAACCAGAGATTACATGGTATAGTAGAAGTGACCACGAAAGTATCGTGAGGGTTAAAGGTTCCTCCATCCATTTCGATCCCATCGTTCAGGAACTTGATATCCTCAAAAGAAAGCTCAAAAGGTGATCCCTCACTAGCCCTGAAGAAAAAGCAGCACACATTACCTATATGACAGGTCAATCCTGAAACTGTAACTGTGGAAACTGTACCGGCAAGCTTGAATGATGAAAACCTTGGGCTTGCCCTTCAAGGCGTCAACATTGTTGAACATTTGAACAATTTGCTCCACCTCAAGGTGCTTCTCATCTGATGATGATATTACAAAAGGATATGGTCCCTTGGGATGAGAGCCTGGGCGTTGGTCTCCATGGCTCATGATTACGACGATGCAACAGTCGCCCCTCTTGTGCTCATCTGACATTTCCGCGAAGTCCTTCAGCTTTTTCTTCATCTCCTGCCACGTAACACAAAAAGTTCATGTTCTGAGTCCATATAAGTACATTTTCAAATATCTTTTGAGTGCGTTATTCAGAGACACCCCCTCCAATTTTCTCTAAATGGGTAACATTTGTGATTTTACCTATCCACAACCTTATTCTCGATGGTGTCATTCAGGTAGCACCTTCATATGAATGACAATATTTTTCTGCAGTGGCCCATAGTCTTCATTCATATGGAGAGAACACCTTCATACCACCATCGCTAAAAAGTATTGGAGTATGTATAGCTTACATCGAGCTTCAGGTCTTTTGCAACAGTGACCTCGAATTGCAGTTTATATTTAAGTAGGGTCTCCATCGCGGTCTTATCAATTTTCGAGCCTTCCCTGTTCTTCGTTTTGCCTTCAAATTTATTGATATTGATGATGAGTGCCTGACCCCGAGGAATGGACGTCATATTGTATTCGTCCTGAAAAAAAAGAATAATGGAGAGGTGAGAGGAAGCGAAGAAGAAAGGAACTAAAGTTATCTTCACTAAGGAACATGGCAAGAGTAGAGAATTTCACGTAAAATCGATTCACAGTGAAATCAAGTGTACTCGAGAACTCGCGAGAAAAATCCAGCATGGCTAATTTAAAGAGTGCCAAATAAGATGTAAAAAAAATGCAAATTTCTCTACAGTTGCACACAGGGATTACATTTCCCCCAGAAGCCTGGTAATATGTGCATTCTTCCTCGTCTAATGCAGCGACAGTGAAAAGTGCAGCACCTTCGACAAGTGAATGTGAACAGCTTTTGAATGACGAGCAATTGGCCACGATGATGCTTCGTGTGCAATAAGTCGACAAGTTTTTTCTTTACGATCAGCATCGTCAGTATTCTCCGCGTAACAAGAGGTACTTTATGAGTTTACATAGGAAAACGAAAATCTGAAAGACCGTAGCATACAGGCTTCCTGGACATTCCACGAGAAACTAAGGCACTTCTTCGCTTAAAATGCATGTCCTACGAGGGCGAATGTGGGGAGCAGTATCATACTTAGTGCAAATACCTATCATATCTTAGGAAAAAGGACTTAGCAGCATTTAAGATCGGAAAAAAATTGCTGTGTTGATGGAACTCGGTGCGTAGAGAGATCCTATCTAGGACATGGTCATATTTTTTAGTGACGTGAGATAATTTTTTTAGTCCAGGCATTGGAGATTTTCCATTCCCTATTCCCACTCGAAAATGACTACTCAAAGTTACAGAAAATACAAGTTCAAAGCGTAAAATACTCTATCACCAATGTTTTAATTTAAAATGTTTTGACCTGACCTAAGTGATGATCATACATGAAAACTGTCTGAATGGTCATAAGAAAGGTGGACGCACGCACCAGAGGACCAGAATCGCCAACATCTCCACTCAATTCTGTGGAAGACGGAAGAGAGACAATGCATTGAAAGAAGGAACTTACGCAATAGATATTCGGCATGGAGAAATTATTGAGTAGTTTCGCGCATGCAATTATGTCTGAGACTTTCTGCGTATATGAAAACAAAGCGGAGTCGCCTGGTCAATTTCCAGTTAATGATACATTTCAGTCTCCTTCAACTAATAGCGCTGCGCATAAATTGAAATCAGACTTATGTGGCCTACAAGTAGCCCAATGATTAATATTATTCCAGCAGTCAGAGTCCAATGGATCCGATCATGGAGTTTGTGGGTTCAATATTACAGACCATTCATGAAAACTCGCGTGGATAACATTTCCTTGTGATCTCAATATTAGCACAAACCCATACCAGGGTGGCTATAAATTCCAGAAACATGATTTTTTCATATGTTGCACATCTCCAGATCCTAATCCTATGGATTCCTTTTTGGGGGTTGCGGCAAATCGCAAGTTCATGAAATCACGAAAATCAGAAACCCTGAACATCTGATTCATCGCATACCAGAAAAATGTGCTGCTATAAACGGAAATGCCAATTTACCTCATCGGATTCATCAACACTTGAAATGTCGCCTTCAAATCTGACGTGATTCAACGGGAGAACATTTTAAACATGTATTTTAGTTTATTTGTACATTATCATTGTGTCATTTGTACATTATCATTATGTCATTATCTGAATATATCCTTAATGCGTTTTTATGTTCCCAGACTTCATGACCACACATATTTATTCACCATCTATCCTCTTTAGTTTCCATTATTTTTGGCTGATTTTACATGCATTTGATATTACTCCACTTCTCGTGTTTTTCTTAATTTTGAAGAGTGAGAAGCTTGAGGGAAGAAATTGGTCAATAGGGAATCAAGTTATTTCTCCTTTAAAAGAAACCGTATCTAGTACTCTCCTGGAGAAAAAAAAGGGATTTGTAAAGCAGGGCAGTCTACACAGGAAATGTGAAGTGGAATTTCACTATCTATGATTGAAAAATGTATTTTCATTGCATAATATTTTCAAAGTATGAGCAGTTAGAAAAAGTTAGGTTAGCTAGGTTAGCTTTCCAAATAAAAATTCCTCATAAACATTCCTTCAAATTCTCCATCGATCGGAAAATAACGTCAGTTCAAGTCGATCTTTCCTTCGCCGGGTATGCAAGCGAATACTTTAAAGAAAAAGGCTCGAGACAAAAATTTTGCACCTTGACGCAAAGGATTGCGATTTTTAATGAAAGGAGTATACACCCGTATAAAATCTTTAGAACCTGTAAACAGGCTAAGTTTACGAAAGTATGTCCCACTATCATTTCTCTCAAGGGAAAAAGTCGACATGAGATCTCAAACGGTTTAACAGAGGATTTTTAAAATTAATACCAATGCTACAGGGGCTATGGGGAAGACCATTATATACATGTCAGCACACAATGGATTTTCTGAAGTGGAGCAATAGCTCATTTTTGTTGACAACATACAACGCATAAAACATGGTCTTCTCTATAGTCCCTGCAGGATTTATATTACTTTTCACAATCATGTATCAAACCATTTACAAGATATGATGTGTTGAACAAGGGAACTACCTTTGTAATCACCCTGTACATGGACAACAGATAATCTGCAATCCTCATGAAAAAAATTTTCATATTATTACTCAAATGGTGAAAACATCGGGTAAATGCAAGAAAATAATTTTCCATTCAAACTCGTTTATGAATAGAATATGTTCGGAAGGTTTTCCGTTTATGTTCCAGAATATTTCGTATTGGCGAGATTACTTTTTACATTTAGTAGTATTTCCCTTAAGAACAAAAGCTATAATCCAACGGAAGAGGCGATAATCTCTCTCACAGAAATCGATATTAATAATGTTCCATGGAGAAAGCAGATTCACGAAGAAAACCGTCAAACGATGAACTATGGTAAACTTACCCTTGCGAATACTTTGTTCACATTTCTTGTTTTCATTCCCAAGGGACGCCAACAATTTATCAGCAAATTCAGGTTCTTCCAACCAAAGGCAACTCAATAATGCTTTAAAACCATCAAGTCCTTTATCGGGTATCTTCTGCACAAGGAACTCTGCTTGCTTTTCTGGTTTCTCTCCTATCCACTCGTTATAGTGGTTCGTCCCGATGACTTTCTTCAGTTTCATGCGCTCCAGAAGCTCTTTAAGGTTGATTTCATCAATGAACTCGCTTTTATGCTGAAGCATCACATGAGATATTGCTGCGCGATTTATTGCTATGATGTCTAAAGGCTGTTGTCAGCGTGTCTTGTATGCCTGCAGTAGAAAAAGAGAATTTGTCTGCAGTACAGTAATTACTTTCAACTCCACGAAACCGATGGAAGTTGATTAGAGCAATGCCGCACGGGCACTGGAGAGTACACAAGCCATGGAAAAAATTAATTATGATGTCTTACCTGGAGCAGGTGTGAGGTCATCAGAATGTCATCACCAGGCATATGGAGACGCATCAGCAGAAATATTCTAACGCTTTTCACACAAAGGAATGCTCGGCTCTTATCTCGAGATTGCACGAGAGGCGAGATATTCAGTGCGGTCCTGATAAGCCCGTATTTCGCACATTAGAGACTGATTCACGAGCTGTGGAAAACTGACTCATCATAGAGATGAGTAGAAGACTAAACCAAGCTAAAACTGTGTGATGTTGAAGAAGCCATGATCATGATCAAAGGATGGAAAAGTACCATTGGTTCATTGCAAGACGTGGGGATGAATATGATATCTGTTTTGCTGATTTCGTAGTGCAACTGAAGAAATTCCTAGACAGATCTCAATCTTAGTCTGCTGCTAAGGTGCGAACGCAAGAATATAATAGTTGCATTTTAACATTTCTCATGTGATTAGCTTGAGATAAACGAGCAAAAACTGTAGGGTACTCCAATGATACATACGCGTATAGAAGAAAGAAACGTTGTTTTGTTAGATGCTGTTTCCGAGGTGCCTTAGAATTTCAGAGAGAGGCCCGTTTGCGTTTTTTTTTACATTACACAGTACTTAGCAAGTTCTCAATTTCAGAAATAGAATCCTTATTATGCAATCAATTCCTCTCATTCCTCAATCCCACTTCTAATAAAGAGTAGGAACAACCTCTGTATAGTCCTTTTACCCATAATAAAAAGATATAGCCCCTTCTGATTTTCACTTCATCCCTCAGATGACAAAAAATGTAATGGACAGGTTATGGATATTGTGAGGGACTACACTCATAGAAAATTCCGAGCGTTTGAGGAGTAAAAAGTGTGCACACCGTGAGCTTTTCGAATTTACTTTCTTATTACTCACCAAATGCTCCATCATCGCTCTTTTGAAGTGAACACCTTGAAGTTCTTCGCAGGGCCACTAGATGGAGATAAGGGTCTCGCTTTTCCCACAGTACACAAAAGTTCCCTACCCTCTTTCCCTGGAATCGTCCCTCGCAGGATTGTTTAGTACCTTGCCATTTGGCTCACCTAGTCTCATTATAGGAATCAATAAACACGGACACTTCATCATTTGTTATCCACATATTCAAGACATAATCATAGAGTCTAGGCCATAAACAAGCTCATATTCTTATTGAGAACCCTTTAGAAACGCGTAGAATTTTATCCGCATAGGAGATCTATAACACTAGCGAGTTTGTTTGCCCTTCGGGCAAACAAACTCGCTATGGTCGCGCCTTCGGCGCTCTATTACCTTGGATAGTGATTATTTCATTTATTCTTTTCGAAATGGCAAACACGTATTTGAAGTACGTCCCACATGGAAATACGTGACATATGGAGTGGAAAGTTTTGATTTTTATCAAAATCATTACCTCTATGAATATATGTGTGCCTAACCTGAAATNGGAACTGCGTTTCCTAACGCTAAAAATTACTTTCCTCATATGTGGGCATATTTTAGAAATCTTGGACATTTGTCCGATTCAAATGCTTTCATACAGGGTGATAGTAAAGAGAGTTCCCTTTTTCAGCGCATGAGATCTCAAACGGTTTAACAGAGGATTTTTAAAATTAATACCAATGCTACAGGGGCAATGGGGAAGACCATTATATACGTGTCAGCACACAATGGATTTTCTGAAGTGGGGCAATAGCTCATTTTTGTTGACAACGCACAACGCATAAAACATGGCCTTCTCTATAGTCCCTGCAGGATTTATATTACTTTTCACAATCATGTATCAAACCATTTACAAGATATGATGTGTTGAACAGGGAACTTCCTTTGTAATCACCCTGTACATGGACAACAGATAATCTGCAATCCTCATGAAAAATTTTTCATATTATTACTCAAATGATGAAAACATCGGGTATATGCAAGAAAATAATTTTCCATTCACACTCGTTTATGAATAGAATATGTTCGGAAGGTTTTCCGTTTATCTTCCAAAATATTTCGCCATGGCGAGATTACTTTCTATATTTCCCTAAGAACAAAAGCTATAATCCAACGGAAGAAGGGATAATCTTTCTCACAGAAATCGATATTAATAATGTTCCATGGAGAAAGCAGATTCAGGAAGAAAACCGCTAAACGATGAACTATGGTAAACTTACCCTTGCGAATACTTTGTTCACATTTCTTGTTTACATTCCCAAGGGACGCCAACAATTTATCAGCAAATTCAGGTTCTTCCAACCAAAGGCACTTCAATAATGCCTTAAAACCATCAAGTCCTTTATCGGGTATCTTCTGCACAAGGAACTCTGCTTGCTCTTCTGGTTCCTTTCTTATCCACTCGTTATAGTGGTTGGTCCCGATGACTTTCTCCAGTTTCATGCGCTCCAGAAGATCTTTAAGGTTGATGTCATCAATGAATTCGCTTTTATGCTGAAGCATCACATGAGATATTGCTGCGCGATTTATTGCCATGATGTCTGAAGACTGTTGTCAGCGTGTCTTGTATGGCTGCAGTAGAAAAAGAGATTTTGTCTGCAATATAGTAATTACTTTCAACTCCATGAAATCGATGGAAGTTGATTGGAGCAATGCCGTACGGGTACTGAAGGGTACACGAGCCATGGAAAAAGTAAATTATGATGTCTTACCTGGAGCAGGTGTGAGGTCATCAGAATGTCATCACCAGGCAGATGGAGACACATCTGCAGAAATATTCTAACGCTTTTCACACAAAGGAATGCTCGGCTCTTATCTCGAGATTGCACGTGAGGCGAGATATTCAGTGCGGTCCTGATAAGCCCGTATTTCGCACATTAGAGAATGATTCACGAGCTGTGGAAAACTGACTCATCATAGAGATGAGTAGAAGACTAAACGAAGCTAAAACTGCGTGATGTTGAAGAAGCCGTTCCTTTCATGATCATGATCAAAGGATGGAAAAGTACCATTGGTTTGTTGCCAGACGTGGGGATGAATGTGATATCTGTTTTGCGGATTTCGTAGAGCAACTGAAAAAATTCCTAGATAGAAAGGTGCGAACGCAAGAATATAATAGTTGCATTTTAACATTTCTCATGCGATTAGCTTGAGATAAACGAGCAAAAACTGTAGAGTACCTCAAAGATACATACGCGTATGGAAGAAAGAAACGTTTTGTTAGATGCTGTTTCCGAGGTGCCTTAGTATTTCAGAGAGGCCCGTTTGTGTTTATTTTTTTCATCACACAGTACAGTACTTAGCAATTTCTGAATTTCAGAAAATTTATGAAATAGAATCCTTATTGTGGAATCAATTCCTCTCATTCCTCAATCCCACATCTAATAAAGAGTGGGAACATCCTCTGCATAGTCCTTTTATCCTATAATAAAAGGATTTAGCCCCTTCTGATTTTCACTTCATCCCTCAGATGGCAAAAAATTTAATGATGGACAGGTTATGGATATTGTGAGGGACTACACTCATAGAAAATTCCGAGCGTTTGGGGAGTAAAAAGTGAGCACACCGCGAGCTTTTCGAATTTGCTTTCTTATTACTCACCAAATGCTCCCTCATCGCCTCATGCGCTCCAGAAGATCTTTAAGGTTGATGTCATCAATGAATTCGCTTTTATGCTGAAGCATCACATGAGATATTGCTGCGCGATTTATTGCCATGATGTCTGAAGACTGTAGGAATCGTCCATCGCAGGATTGTTTAGTACCTTGCCATATGTCTCACCTAGTCTCATTATAGGAATCAATAAACACGGACACTTCATCATTTGTTATCCACATATTTAAGACATAATCATAGAGTCTAGGCCATAAACAAGCTCATATTCTTATTGAGAACCCTTTAGAAACGCGTAGAACTTTATCCGCATAGAAGATCTATAATATACAGACACTGTCCGTGAACTTCATTCAATCTATAACTAACAAATGATATCTCGGACACATCACGGAACCTCTAAGAGGTGGTCCACCCACTGACGTGTGCTGTAATCGGTACAGTCAGTGCTTGTATGAGAACGAAAGTGATACACAGTATATATGAGAATTTTCGTATTTGCATGACATCCCTATCACTTTCTGATGGGAGTGTTTTTACTCACGAAGGAGAGCAAATTTACTCCTTGGTGATGGAGTAAATTTGCTCCTTTCCCAGAGTGAAAGGGGGGTGAAACTGGAGTTAGCTATTTTACTCTCTTTTTTGAGAAAAATCGCTCCCCTTTTTCTAAGAGTTTAGTGCAATAAGCAGGAAGTATCGTTCTACTGGAGTAGGAAATTACTTTTTTCCATGTATCTCCAAAGTCGGATTTTTTTTTCTGAACTCTGCATCTCAAAGATACATGTGTACCAAGTTTCAGATTTCTAACTTCTCTAGAATATTGTTAGAATTAGCGTCAGTCAGTCACGATAGTTATGTATGTTAGATTCAATGCACCATGCAAATGGCAATCGGTACGTATTTTTATAATTGCGAATAGTTGGAACATGAGTTGACTCTCGGAAATCCCTGCCCAGTATTTGTTACATGGGAGATTACTTTCACGCAAGGCGTTTCAAGATGAGATTCGAGTTTTGAAGAAACCTTCCCGGACCAAGGATAACGAATTTTACAAATGTTGCTCCACATATTCCAGAAATTTCAGGCCCTCCACTCCCTATAGAATTCAAGAAAAATATGTTAACGGGATCGGAAAAGAAGCCTTCTGCTTAAACCCCCCATGGAATCAATGTCAACGATGCCATAAAGAAGCACGTGCGGCCGGATGCGACATCCAGGGTGACTGTGCCTCCCAGCGCAACAGGGTCCCCCTGATATCCTACAATGTTGAGCATGTGGTGATCACCCCATCCGCCATCCAGAGGCAATCCACTTCATGCAGCACCAGAGGAGCACTCTGGCACTGGTCGTGCAATGAGGCTCGTGCTTGGTGGTGGAGCACGTCAGTGTCATGGCTGTGCAAATACTCAAATCAAGTCAAAACTCTACATTGTGATTTATTCATACCTCTAATGTCATGAGTTATGTTCTCAGCAATGAAGTTTTTTATTATTATTTTATTACCTATTCGGGAAATACACATGCTACAATCACGGATCTAAATACCTTCATGGGATCCAGAAGAAATATAAATCGACCCCAAATGAAAGTCACTCCCGGAATAGAGAAGTATAGTGGGGGAACACATTTGGAGAAAGGGCCCATATAACTCCTGCATTTTTATCTGCTCCCCGACAGGCGACGTGCACGCCACATCCCACTGGGATGTGGCGTGCACGTCGTACGCGGAGGTGGCAGTTGAAGGCCAGGAGAGATCGCGGTGGGTCATATCCTCCACCCGCTGCTTCCCTTGAACAGGGTGGAACTGTTCTTCCCTCTCTCCGTTTCCTTTCCCTGTGATTTTCTTCTCATTTCGCTTATTATCTTGCAAGATTTAGAGATGCTGAACTTCATTTTAGAAAAATCATTGATGGACTCAGTAGCGGCTCCTGAATGAAAATCTAGGAAGGTCAGCGCATTCCCTTCGCAATGAAAAAAACTCGTTCTGCTGTCGAATTGACAGCAGAACGAATTTTTCACTCGAATTAAGTGAGGGGCACAATGTGCCCTTAGGTCAGTCTTTTCCTTCTTGAATTGGCATGTTGAAAAAATATTTCTAGTTGGCAAACCCCTAGACACTATTTAGAATCGAAATCATGTAAAACCATAGCCGAGACTGGCACTTTCCTTGAACACCCTATTGTTGTCTTTTCGATCGAGAACGAATCAGACCGTTCCGAGAGATTTCCGACGGTTCTTTGAAGTTAGTCAATGATTAATGCAATAGCGGCATGAAAATTTCTGGCCTCCATTGGAGTCATGAAAGCTTCAAATAAGGCCCTGGCTTCCTCGTCCTGAATTTTTTTTACTTCGTGCATCCCCCGTATTAAGCCCGAATCTCGTGGCGATGATCTTCGACATCAATCAACACGCCTGTGGCAACATGCACAGCCGAAAAAAAAATAAGAACACCAAGAAAGTGCGACGCTACGTCCACCAATCTTCGGCCATTCATCTGAGACATCCAGGTACGAAGATGATGAATCACCCTCTCTGGTATCTGGCATCCCGCCGGCGCGATAAAATCACGTGACAACCACGTGACGTGGAAGGGTAAAGCTCGCCAGAGGAGGTCAGAGTCCTAACTGTGGCCCGACCATATGATCGATATTCAGGGCGTTCCATTTTTTTTTGTCGTCTGTCTATAGGCCTCGAAAACTCGCAGCGGTTTTTAACTGCTCCGACCTTCCCCCACCCGAAAAAATGCATTATTAGGGCTCTAAGTGCCAGTAGAGTAACAAAAAGGTGCGGTTTACAAAAATCACTTGGAATTAATACACCAATATTTTGTCTCAGAGGGTTCCTGGACGTCGGGGACACTTTGAGAACAAGCTTCTAACCCCCCCCCCCCCCTTGAAGGATGCAAAAAAGCATGATCCTGGAGGGGAGACAGACCGAAATTAATTCATCGGCTAACCGAATAGGCGTACGAATTATCAAATATGGATTTTTTTTTAAAATCAGGAATCATACTTAATACCATTATTTATCACAGGATACTTTTACGACGACTCACTCTCTTTCTTGCGAATTCCAGTGAGCGGCCACCTAGCTGTAATTATTTGATCGAAAAGCCAAAGTCAAGAAAATGGCTCCCGTAAGCTTTCTTGGATAATATAAAAGCTGTTTCTCATGTTTATTCAGTTTCGTCGTGATAACCTGTATTTAAAAAAAAAATTATCGGCGCTTCTGCACGTTCTCATGTTTAAAGAAAAATTCTAATAGTCGACCTGATGGGTGTTACAACAATAGGTCATATGAGTCCACTGATTACCTTGACCTTGACCTTGACCAGCTAACTTTGAAAACTCAGGAGAGTCTCATTACAGCAAGGAACAGCGTGGAAGGATGGAATTCTTCAAGCTGCCTCTTCAACCCAATCTCATACGCAAAGTAGACCTAATGGAAAAGAATACGGAAACCTATCGGCGCCGGCCTTCCTCCACCTTCCCACGCGCGACTCCGACATAGATTTAAAAAAAGGAAGCCGGGGCGGTGAGGACTCCCGAGCCAACATTCACCCTCGGCATATCAGTACGAAGGCGAATGGAGACATGGCAGTTGAAGGTCACGAGAGATCCCGCTGCGATCGCCCGTCCGCTGAGAGATTGCGTCGCGCGAGGGGGATCAACCTGTCTTCCCTCTTTCGATTCCAGTTTTCTTTTTCGCCGTTTTCTAAGCTGGGCTGGCGCTTAAAATATCCTTAATTGCAAGAAGGGGCATTTATGAACATTTGGTGTATTTTGGGAGAGTAGCAGGCAAGGTTTTGGCCTTAATAAAAGTTTATTAAGAGATTATTTGTTATTTACTTTATTTTTAATTATGACGGAAAGAGATTTTAGCGCTGGCAATTAAAAAAAAATTGTACCGGGTCGACCTCACTCATGAAAAATGTTTCTCTCAGCAAAAAAAAGTCACAGGAATGGACAACTCTTAAAATTCATCATAGTCGAACGGACTGGAAAAAAAAAAACTATTACAGTTTTTTTGCAAAAAAAAAAATTATTACTAATATATTTTTTTCTCCCGTCCGAGGGACTGCACCGTCGAACGGACTTCGAATAAAATATGCTTTGAATAAATATTAAATTCGATCGGGAGATGTGACGTGTCGATGAGAAGCGGTACGGGATCGGGATGGGTCAATCTGATTCCCTTCTGTCTCCTCCCCGAGTTTCGAATTTTTTCTTCACTTCCAGTCACCGGGTCATTGGAGTGCGAGGGTGTCCACGTCGTCCGAAGAACCATGAAGGACTGGTGAGTCTGGTTCAAGTACTGTACTCGGCGAATTCAGGGTGAAGAATCTAGACTTCAATTTGGTTTTTGCACGGGCAAAAAAAAAAAATATTTTGGTTTCATTCGATCGGAATCCACTCATCACTTTCCCATAGGGCTGCATTGTAAGGGCAGATGGATGCGGCGAAGGCGCGAGTTCGCGAACGGCGAACGCGGCGGATCCGTTCGCGAACAGCTCCGCAGGCTCAACGCCACTTTTAAATTTTTACCGCGGCTTTAAACATTTCTGAAAACGGAATCCCGATATTCCCAAGCCGATTTTGTGCATGAAAAGCTCGATCGACTCGAACATGTTGCCAATCTAGCGCGTTTTTTTTTCTGGGAATCCATTAAACACAACGACCGACAAAGTATAAATAAAACTTTTTCCCTGTCAAATGGGATATACACATTTATTCTTAGAGTTGGCATTGGAATCATAATTAGCACATAAATTATTTAAGCTGTTTTTTTAATTCCCCCATTCCTTGTGGATCATCCCTCGGATGATCCACGCGATAATCCACTCGAATGTGGCTGTTTTCTCAATCGTCCGAAGGTGTCCGGAGCTGATCTGGCTGGTCGTCGCGGTCGGGGCCCGCGGGTGCACCGCGGACGACGCGGGTGCACTCGCGACGTCGGAGCCGCGGCTGGGCACCTTGCTCTTCTCGCCGAACGGACTCGAGTACACCCTCTCGGGTAACGTGAGTTCCGACGGTTACCAAAGGCGAACGTCTTTTACTTTTAAAGAATTTTTCTTTCCAACGTTAAAAATTAATAATAATAAAAAATTATGCACATTTTTAAAATTAATCTATTGACAGCTCATTTTTCGTAAAATTTGTTCAGGTAATTCATAATGCATCAATAACCAAGCGACCAATATTTTGGAGCATCTTCTACTCCAACACTCGCCAATGCACGTAAGAGAAGACGATTCCGTGTCAGCTGCCACTATCAGAATAATCTTCGCTACACACTAAGTACTTTTCAGTACAACCGGTACTTGTCAGACACTCCTCCATGGAGGGGAAGTCCAGAACAAATCAAGCCCTGGACTTTCTTCTGCTTGGAAGAATTCAATTCGAATTTTTGATATAACTGATCCCAGACATAAAGCTTTTTTTTTTTTAGTACTTTTAGTACTTGCAGTTCTTTCTTAATTTTCTGAACTTGAGACGTACCAAAGAAAGCAGAACGATACCCAGCGGCATATTGCACCGAATGTGTCCCAATTATCAAACTCCCTCCAGTTTTTTTTGTCCTATTTTTCTTCAGCTGCAGTCGGCTAATAAGCACTTTTCGGTTCCTCTTAGTCCTAGTGTAGTACTTCTGAATGAGAGAAATACATGTCGAGCAACATAAATAGAATTCTGAGCGACATAAACAGAATTTCGAGCAACAAAAATAGAATTCTGAGCAATATGAATTGAAATTTGAACAACAATTCTCACCGTGAGCCGCACTCGATGAAACTAATGGATCTGCAGGGTATCAGATCGCCGGCGTGATGAAGGACATGCTGCTGGCGGCGTCGACACTCTTCATGATCTTCTGGCTGATCGTCCCCATCGCGGCCATCTCGTACAAGGAGGTCTTCTGCATCTTCGGGACCGGGGACTGCACGAAGCGGTACAACATAGAGAACCCTGAGCCTGATTTCGACGAGCTGTTCGTGCACGACCCCGAGAAGACCCAGGCGCTCCTGGGGCTTCAGGCGGCGCAGATGGAGCTTCCGCCCTCGCAGTATCAGAATATCACGGCGGCGCTGAAGGTGACGAAGGTGGAGGACCGGATGGGGGAGGTGTGGGGGGTCGAGAGGCGCAGGGGGGAGAACCGGAGGGCGGAGGTCGAAGAACGCATGCCCACGGGTTCCGTCTGGGAGATCATCAGTGACACCTTCAGCCTCATGTGGGATGTGCCTGGGTTGCTCATCGAGTTCTTCAAGATGGTGATTCAACTCTTATTGTGAACCATTTTTTTTTTGCACATGAATTCACTATAATAAATTCCTTTCTGCAAGTCTATGTATGCTGAATAGTACTGCCAGGCATCCAAACCAGTAGAGATTATTGTCAGTTTCAGTTAATCAAAGAAATTAAAAAATACATTTTCCCCTTTTGTTTTTGATTGCCCTTCACTCTAACTTCATAAATGCATATATTCTATCAATTTTGCCAATTTTTTCAGATTCAAAATCCATCACTGCATTATGGAAATCGAGTAGAAAGAATTCAACTTCACAGGCATACTCCTTGGCTGTTCATTTCTTAAATTGCTTCAGACAGAAAATAATAAGCAAAAGACATGCAAGGATCACTAAGGGCAACACATGCTGCAGAAGCATCCTTTGCATGGCTCAGCATTCACTTTTCCCTGAATTGTGCTGAATAATGCTCATTATTATTAGTATTCCCTTCAAAGGGGGAGTCGGCAATGAAAAGAAAAGCACATCACAGTGGCCCAGATTGAATTCTAGAAAATAATGACAGCAAAGGAGGCCAGATGAGTGCTTCAATTCATATATAAGAGGTTTATGTAGAAAAAAAAAACAGCTAAAGAAGAGTAAGACCCAATGTTTTAACCAAAGATGAAGACATCTGAGACTGCATGGAGTTCCACATTCTTGAATTTTTACCCTTTCAATGTATTCACAGTCTTACAAAAATTAAACAAGATTTGTGACTTCAATGAAGGAGAAATCTTCATTGTAGGACCAGACATCACTAAGCACCCACTAGTCAGATTTCACAAATTCATCATAAAAAACACAGTTCAAGAGGGACACACGATGAAACCCTGGGGATTTCCTTTTCTCGGGAACACATACGTACAAGCCGATACATGGCCTCTCTCTTGAACATCACTGGCTATGAGACCATGGGACCTGCAAAGTCAAGGATTTGAGTCCTTTAGAGGTTTTCATAAAAGTATAAAATGGTTCTGGAGAACCCTTCTGCCCATTCATAGTAGCCTTGCAGGGTTGCAAGCAGAGTTTTGGGAAAAATTGATTTGTGTGTTTGTGACATGAACCTAATTAAGTGGGGAGATTATGTGACATTCGGAAATGTTTCAAGTTTTCCAATATTCCTTGGTGCAGAATTAATCCTTCTCTAATCCTGCCAATGACTCCAGAGCTCACTTTTTGCAGAGGCTTTGCAATTTATACAAATGGAATTATTCAACTTCAAGTTATTTGTGTAAAAGCAGATGCCACAGTGAACACAATAATGCTTTTATTGGCTAATAGAGCCAAGCCAGCTTCAACCTGTAATTGCAATCAATGAATCCCCCAATGAATAGGTGAATAAGTTGCTGCTCAGAAGGCATGATACCATGGTGCATGCATTTCAGAATCATGCAATAAGGTATGCTAACCTCCACCAATGCAGGTTGTCAAAAAAATTTTCCAAAAGAAAAGTAAAACATGAAGAAAAATGGAAGCACATCATGTTCTTCCCTTTAATCCTTCCAACCCCACCCTTATCAAAATGGATATTTAAAAAAATTATTCTGCCACAGAATCATTATCAAGCTCAACTTCTGTCAAACTCCATCACATTTGTAGATGCTTCATCAAAAAAAAAACCTCTTAAAAAACATAAGGAATTGGGAAACTCTGACAGAGCAGCATAGTGTGGATGGGCATTTCTTCTTTCCCATGCCTCCAACCATATGTTTCCCATCAAGATGCATCCTTACCTATCTGTACCTACCCTCCTAATGTCAAACCCCCCATAATTTACCATAGACATTCTACAATGGAGATCTTCAAATTTAACCATAATTTCCTTCTGGTGGTGGTAGAGATAACTGAAGCGAGCAAAAGAAAACTATTCCTGCAACAAATTGTGAGTGGTAAAGAACCGGACACCATCATTCTTCCATGATCAGGCCATCAATCTGTCTCACCATTCAATGATGATCAATTCGATTAAATTTAACTATTTGAACCTATGCACATCAAATCAATGCACACTCTCGAGAGGAACCAACATCGGAAAATCATTTGAGAATGGATGGCTCTTTGAGGATATCTTCCTCAACCAAATATTGAACTTCATGCCCCTCTCATAATTCAGGCAACTCCTTCTTACGCAAATGCCTTTGACTCATTTTGCCCATATCTCCAACTTTCAGGAGATTGAGGCAATCTTGTAGAGTTTTGCAAGCCTCACATCACAAAAGGCACCAGACAGAATAGAGCCATAAATAAATAGAAAAAAAAAATTCCACCTGGAGCTTCTTCCCATGTGGATTCAGATGATGGCTTCACCTCGACTTCTTCCACAGCCTCCGTATCTTCCAGAATCGCTGCCGGCGCTCCTCCCACTCCCCCTTCTTGTCCTCGACGAAAGTGTTCCACTCCTCCCGTTTGTCATGATACATCACGCGGAGCTCTTCCTTTGATGGCACTGGCTTGATGTAACCCCACTTCATCAAGTAGTTGATGGATAGTGTGGTACCGCCTATCAAAACAAGAAATTTAAATAATAAATTCACTGCTAATTAATTTAAGAATATGATATATGCTAATTTATTTACAATAAAATCATGATTCCTACATTTTCTGAAATGAATGTGATATATCTGCAGGGGGCAGAGAAGCTGAAGAAGCAGATTTGAACATAGGTCTATTACTGAAAATGAGCTTTTAAAAGGCATGATGATGCAAATATGGTAGCAAATTATGTCAATGAAGTCGGCTGATCATAAGAGTCACCTTGACCAGAAAATGCAGATTATATTTCAAATTTTAATGGATGGATGAGATTGGTGGATACAGCTCTTTCTTCTTCTACTTTCTCTCAGTAGACACAATATCAAAGCTTCACTGAAAATCAAGTATGTCCTCGTAGCATGAGCATGATTGATGCTACATATTTGCTCGGAAAAATGGTGCATTCTTATATGAAAATTTTTTTTTCTTAAGATTCCAAAGAGTGAAGCATTTGACACAAGGTCACAATTTCATTTAATAGAACAAACGCTGGTGCTAATAATGAATAAAAACCAAGGGAAGGTTTATGCTTTTATAAAGTAGGCTCCACTACCAGCCTTGACAAATGTAAGCCAAATTATTGAATGATTCAGAAAAGCATTGGACTTGACAGAGCATGGATAACTGATGCAAAGTGAAATCATATCAACAGTTGGAACAATTCACCTATTGTGACCATGTATCTCAGGGGAGTGAAGATTTTGTAGAGGGTGTAGGCGATGGCAAAATAACCAGCCTTCGAGTTCCTCAGCATGTCCACGATGCGCTCCGTCACTCCCCAGGTCTCAAACAGCCCAGCCAAGTCGATCCCTCTGCAGAGGATACATTGCAGAAGTGAATCCTTTTTATCACAAATTCATTTCATGATTACTCGGGGGACCAGGAGTAGGCTCTGAAGAGGGGTTGAGAAGGAGTGAGAAAATTTTGGCTTTTTATTAAGTGTCCCATCTTTCTTCTGTATTGAGAAAACTGTCATATAGTGAAAGTGTTGCATCCCATTCTTACATTAATCATACTAAACTGCCTCATCATGTTGCTTTTGCATTGTTAGCCAAGTGCAGTTGATACTCCCTAGTCTCCCTTTCCTTTTACTAAGTATCATTTTCAGAGTTCTCCAGATCTCTTGAAACACTTCCTGTCAAGGTGAAAAATAATTTCTCCCAGCTGTTAAGAAAAAATCATGGAACTCACGTTGTGGCGATGACGTAGAAAGAGCCAAACCAGATGGCAGACGTGACACAATGCACAGGCACAAGAATATACCAATAGTCCTTGTACATCTGCTTGAACCTCTGAACAAGCCCTGGCTTCTTGGCTGGGGTTTTCTCTTCCTCCTTGCCCTTGGAGACCTGGTCCCCCTCCCCACCCGGTTTCGCATCCTGATGGAAATCCCTGCAGGAAACGGCAAGGGGACTCCTCGATTGTTCCCAGGAGAGGTAAAATGGTAGAGACTCTTTTGCAAGAAGATCACGTGGAGATGCACAAGACCAAAATCTTGTATGACGATCAGAGAGACTAGTGGAGCAGGCAAGACCTGTGTAAGAAATGAGTAGCATTATTCAAATGATGAACTAATACAATACGTATCTAAATTAACAATAATGAGTTCACAGTGTAATATTAATTTTTAGGAGCTTGATTCAGATTATGTTATGAGTGAATCTTCTAGAGATGAAACTAGACACAAAGTCATATGGATCAGGAATCAAAGGAGGATGATTTCCTCAAAACTCACATGCAAGAGACAGAAAAAGAGTGGACTGAAACTTTATAATATATGCCCTCATATATGGATTTTGTACTATAAGTTGAGAAAGGCAACAAACTGGAAAGTCAAGGCAGCAAAATCAGATGGACCTGCACTTAGATGAGGTAAAAGACTTGAAGGGTTATGACATTTGGAATCAGGAAATCATTAAAGGCATATCTGGTATACCTTGGACTTGCAAGGAAGGAACCACATCAAAGACTTTAAGAAACATAGCATTGCTAAGGACGAAAGAAACTCTCAACCAGTGAGGAGTCTCCATGTGCAAGGAGGAAAGAATCGCTAGAAAATTTTACACATCAAGGGCACATATCAATGACCACAACAAACCCACTTCAGAATGCTTTAGAGGTAAACTAGTCCCAAACTCAAATAAAAAGAAAGCCCCTCAAGATGCATTTTGGGCATTCACTCAGGGTCAGTATTGCGCTTTTCTGAATTTTCGTTAGAGACCCCTCACAAACTGACATGGCAGTATACATACTGCTCGTGGGATGTGCGGTCCATAGACATCTCCTTTTGAGCTGCTGACCACTGATGACCCTGGAGAGGCCTACCCTCGGGGCATGTCGACAAGCGGCCAGCAGAGTCAGGATCTTCCCGTCCCCCAGGAACAAGCTCATCATTAGGACCGGGGAGCTGGAGCGTCAAGCACTCGGCTTCCTATGGCTTCAGGGGTGCCGATTGGTTATCCATGAGATTTATTGATGAAAGGCAGTTGCTGCCTTTATTTATTTCTTGCTCGTGTAGAGCCACCTAGAAAAAATAAGTTACAAAATGACTCCTATACATAGGTTGGTAACTCTATGATGGCCATACTTCCTAGGCCTATCAATTACCAACATGCAATGCATTGGAGAAAAAAGGAGTTATACAGTTAATTTGGCACAAGCCTACAGGCATTATGCCATTAGTAACAGATCAAATTATTTAACTGCACTTATAGAAAATATTCTAAGGTATTGAAAGCATATTGATATTTCACCCTTGGGGCAGGGCTTATGGTATATCGAACATGTATAGGTGCAAATGCAATTTTCAACTTGACAGTGTCATGTGTAACTTTCCTATCCCTTCATTAACCTTTTCCACTCGAATGGGCGAGTATACTCGCCCATTGGTACATTGAGTGATGCAAAAATTCTAGTGGAAAAGGTTAAAGCAAGTATTCCCTAAATACTTGCCCATGGCAGGAAATCTTTCAAAGCAACTTCACAAAGTGAATCATTTTCATACATACTGATATTATGTCATGTAGAATACTGCCACTTGAATCAGATTAGGTGTATTTGGAGATGAAGAATATAGGACAACATATAACATAGAGGGAATAAAACGATCCATTTCAACGATCCATAAGCTATGTTTCCCCAGATGCATATCAAATGGTAATAACTGTCCAAATCATCATCATGGGAGGGCAGTGGTCAGGGACAACAATGCCATTAGACCACATTTTGCAATCAAAATTTCAGTGCAAGCAATGACCATCAAGAACAAATGCATCCATAAAAATGTGCATGCATGAGCACTATTCCTTCCTATGTACACTAAATCATATGCAAGTCTCCCATCAAATTTCAGGGACAAGTTGATGCCTTCGGGAAGTGTGTAAGGTAAAACGTAGCTACTTAGCAAATATCTGATGCTTATTTGTATCCAATCCTGAAACCTTAGCCTGAGACTTCTTTAATATTTAAGCCCCATCCCCAGGGGAGTTTCTATCGATTGCATGTCATTACATCTTCCAGATGGGTTGTTTCATGGTCCATCTGATTAAGAGGACCGTCTGGAATAATAGCCTTATTTCCCCACTACTAGCAAAAATGAGTAAAAATCTCAAAACAGTATAGGCCTATGAAAGTCCATAACCAGCTAATCGACACCATGCAACTTGTAAATTAATCAAGTCAATCGGATTGGCCGTGGCAATTGAAACTGCCAGACATCAACGTATTATAACGTTGAAAGGCGAGAAAACCAGGAACCGCACGTTACAATTCAAAACGTCAAGGACACCATAGGGCGCACGAGCCGCGCCTGCATGACATGTGACACAAGGCGTGGCGCCATCATCTGCCAATGCTGTCGGATGTGAATTAAAATTAGACAACGTTATGCTCACTGCGTATGCAGTTCACATGGGTTACCTCGAAAACAATGATATTCCGAAAAGAGATAGATCACTTTTGTAAATCATTCTTCAGTTTCAGAACAAAATCTACTCCAGAATTTTACATTCAAAGGGGAATTTCAACAAATGACGCCAGCAGAATTTTCCAGCAACCCTGTGGGGATTGCATCATGAAGGCGTCATGTCCAGGGGAATCCTCGTGGCATTGGCCAGTCGACCAACAGTCAGATAGCCTTAATTCTTCGTATTGATCCAGTTGTTTCATCCTTCCGTTGTTTCTGTGCGAGCCGTAGGCCGTCGTAGTCCCCGTCAGGTAGACCGTATTGCCACGAGAGTTTCGTTAACATGGTTTACTTCAGGCCAGGTCGTAATTGGCTTCGGCCTGTGAGAATATATGTGCCAGTGAAAATTCGCTTGTTCAGTGCAAGTGAAAATGAATGTGTCAGGATGATAGAACGTTTTAGAGTCATGCCCTAAGCTTATGCAGCAATCAACATGCAAAACAACTTCTGAATCATGTTATTGACTTCGGCATTGTGCAAACACCTTTGGTTTAACTTTGATGAAAGCCTGTAACCTAGTCAGTCTTGACTCCTTAGGTCTGACCATGAAAGTAATTCTTTTTAATGCAATAAAAGTAATTGAGAAGGTACTTCTGAACATAAGCACCAAATGCTCAGATTTTTGTGATGATCATGTCGTGAGTCACAGGACGTGAGGCTCTCATTCCCATAGGAGGGCCATGCCCTTGGAATGTGAGGAGTATTGCTATCTTTATGCTCTGATTAAATTTCATTTGTACTGATAAACTGGAACAGAAGTTCTTGGAATATGACGGATGTATATGTCGTATCCACTCGAGATAACATTTTATCTGGACATATTTTACTTTTCCAAGCAGCAGAAATATTTTCTACACATTACAGTAAAATGCATCTTTGTTGATGGTTCCAATTGGATTTGTGGTGCGTAGAATCGTCATCTGAACTGTAAAAGGATTACTGTAATATATTAAAGTAGTTTCACTTTTATATTTTCGGATTATATTTTGTTAATGAGGCTTTCATGAGAACAGTCACATTGTATCCCTAATGAAGCCAAATGCAATTGCAAGAGAATATGTTGAAAAGTAAACTGTGGTGCTAAGATGTTTCCATTCCTAAAAATGTAGTCTCAGCTGACCCATCTTGCCTGTCCTTCAAGAATTCCAGCAGGCTTGCCCATCCAATATACCAATGCTATATCTGGTTGTGCTAGAAGCACCAAACCTTCTTTCGCTGAAATGAAAGAAAACTGTATTCGTCGCAGAAAATTGTCGTACCTTCTCATGAAGCCAAGCAAATAGCATTAGACCCTGTATGTGGTATAGGCCTATTGGATTATAAGATAATCAATTTTTTTATTATTCAAACCTAATCAGTTGGCAGGTCAGAGCATATTTCTGAAGGTCAGCGGCTGTGTCGAAGGATGCCTCGCAAGAACGTCCCCCCGAAGGACACGGACGAGTACCTGAAGAAGCGGCAGAGGAACAACGAGGCCGTGAAGAAGAGCCGGGAGAAGACCAAGAAGCGGACGGAGGAGATCGCCACCAAGGTGGAGGAGCTGAGGCAGGAGAACGAGAAGCTCGAGTCCGACATCCAGATCCTGTCGAAGGAGCTGGGGTTCCTCAAGGACATCCTCATCGCCCACGCAGGTTGGTGGAAGATGTCGGGTCGGCTGCCGTCGGACGTTGGAGGGTTCTCGCCGGGGGCCTCAGTATCAATTGCTTACTGTTAATTACCGTCTTCCCATTCCCAAGTTTTAATTCATCTTTGTAAATTAAAAAAAAATAGTATGTGATGCTGCAGTAGGTTTCCATTGCTATTTTTTCCGGGTCATCAGAGTAGGCGATTCCACTTCTGCATTTTCAGTTATATTCACAATTTTTTTCTGTTCTCAATTTTAGCACTTGGACAGGAGAGGAATCACAAAGGCTGTAGTAGTTTCAGAGATTTAATTAACCATTGCTCGTACCAACAATTCTACCGTGCCGCAGTAAAGTAGTCCAGTTGTGATAGTGAACTGAGCCAAAACTATGAAATGCACTTCTTCCATGGCTGAATCGTTTTGGCTGCTGCACATAGCTGGTCTCCGGAAATCTGGAGCAGGAGTCCCATGCAACAAGTAGACCATCTGTAATCTCAAACCAAAGGCTGACGTCCTTGTAGGACTGCAACCGCAATCTGGACCGAAACTGGTAACATCAGTTGGTTGCTGCATCACCTTTCTGGTTCTGGGTTTCAAGGTTTAAGTGAAATGACTAATTTCTTCAGATCAGCTCCATGTTCGCTTGGTTGTTGCATTCGCTTCCTTCCATTAATTTTACTTTGACTTTGTGCTGCTCTACTAAATACAGGCTTCGGGGTGGCCCTTATGTAGTGAGTCATGAATGTGAAAGAATTGAATATCTTCATCCATTGTGCTAGCATCATCATAAGCTGAATGACATTAGAACAAAACCAAAGTTATGACTTGCGTTTAAGTTTTATTTTCACTTTGCCTTTCATCTTGCAATTTTGTATTTCCTTGAATGCCTCTATGTTTTCTCATGATAGATTTATTGTATATTATTGCATAAAAAGGTGCCTTGAGTGATTAGTAGTGAGGTTTTTCTTTGCGATTAAGTTATTGCTTTTTTGATTTAGTCTGCATTTTCACATAGGAACCATAGGAATCTAGATGGTTTGCATCAGAACAGAGAAGTTGATGAATGAGGTTGCTGAACATATTTCTTCTTTAAAACTCCATTCTAATCAGAGCATAGACCTTTTTGCCCTGTGATTATTTGCTAATTCTGAAAAAAACTAGTTCATTTAAGCCAATCAAAATCTAATATTAGTCCCAGAGACCCATATACTGGTAATTGGTTCAGAACAAGGCCTCTGTGTAGTGGGGATTTCTGCATTCCTTCATTCGCATTGCCCTCTTTTTTGGATCGTTTGGTGAAGTGGCCGTCTTCCTTTCCAACAGGATCGGCGCATGGAGTGAGCCTGAAGGAGGAGGAAGTGCCCATCATGATGAAGGTGTTGAACAGTGGCGAGTCCACAGACCCGAGTGACTTGATCCCCAAGGAGGATCACGTGAAGATCCTCGAGGCCATCTGCGAGGCCAGCAAGTCTCAGCAGAGGTCCTCACTCGGCTCATGAGTGCTGCCCTCGGTCGTTTTTAATCGTGATGACGCTTTCATCTTCCTGGCAACTCATATCTGGAATGCTGAGGGGGGTGGGTGATGAAAACTGTCACTTATGGTTGCAGCTGTGTGGCTCCTCTCTTGGTTCTGCTTGTGTCGCCGTTTTGTAAAAACTTGTTCAAAGGCGTTCTGGGAACAAATAGAGAAGCACCCTTTGCTGAGGAAGTAACTTCAGCAAATTGTTAACAAAAACTTTTCAGTTCTTTTAGTTAGTTATGAAAACCATGACTAACCAGAAGTGATATAGTGTCAGGTTAGCTGGTTTCTGAAAAACCAGGCTGCTCAAAGTGGAGAACTAGTGCTACTCAACCTCGGAATACAGGTTTCATATGACGTTATTTCCTCATACCAGGAAGCCTGGTATTGTTTTTCGGCATTCCTGATGCTCCTGTTCAGTCGACTCAAAGTTTATAGTTTTCGGACCGGTTTGAATGAAGGAAACATTCCTCTTGAAATGTTCTTCATTAATTAAGTTTCCCATGTGTATGACTTGAGCCCATTTTTTGCTAGATGGGAAAATTGTTGAACTAAGACTTATGAGTGTTGCTAATTATGAATTCTTCTTTATCCTGCCTCATTTCATCTATGATTTCACTATTATCTTTTGTATGACTAGCTCAATGTGCTGATCATAGTTGAAGTTCAATTCGAATGCATATTCTGCCTGAGGTTGAGCTGCCACTCTGTTTCTCACTGATGATTCACTCTAAATTATTGCTTCTGGTTAGTCATCATGTTTAAGTTGGAAGGAATTGTGTTTCTACAAGGATGCTGCAGAATTTGTCAATTATGGCAACATTTCTCTTGCTGAATATGATGTAAGTGCAATCACGGTCATGGTTGCATCAGTGTATCATCACAGGTGTCAGAGCTGTCACTGATTTCATAGCCTTGCATGGACGCACAAACTCAGGAGTGTGGAATCCTAAGCTGGGGCTCATGAAAGGCAATTTGTGACTGCAAGTTTTGTCATTTCATTCTATCACTCATAGGTCTTGGTTTGGCTCCATCTGAAGTGTTCATAGCGTTACTTACACAGGACTCTCGGTGCCTTCGTGGGAATTAGTTGCCGGCGCTGATGCTGATTACTCTCTGTTGCTACTGATAAGTCATTTGTGTATGAATTTGTCACCTGTCTTTGTTGATTCATTGTTATGGGCTGTGTCATGAGTCAAGACAATACAACCCATGTGATTACCAGTGGTACCTTATAAGGAATATTCTTTTATTATGTTTGCCCATTTCAGTGCTGGAGATCCCCAGATGTTCATGTCTCTGATCTTAGTGCTCTCAATTTATGAAGTCGAACCCATGGGACAGTGGCAGCATTTGGTCTGTTATGTGATCTTCACTGGATGCACAAGTACCATTAAATTGTAGTAATTTTTGATGCAAGGTGAAGACTCCACATGATTTGATTTTCTCTCGATGATGGCAAGAAAAAGCCTGAACTTCTTGCAGCAGGATTAATTCAAAGGTTAGGACAGTGTAACTGCAGTCTCTGTTGCCTTCACGAAAAGAAATTTGCGGGATAAAGGTTGGAATAGCGTTCTCCATCCCGTAATTGTAGAGAATTTTCTTCACGAAGGAACTGATGGAAGTTTATAGAGGGTGCCTATAAAGTTATAGCTCAAAAATACTTGGTCATGATTCAGTAGCCAAATACTTTATTGTTGTGAAAACCCCCATCCCTAACTCACCACCTGCACATTGTGGTAAGGCCTTAAGCAATTTTCGTAAGTTAGCTGGCCAGGGAATCGAGCCTCATCGTTCACACCACTTGTGGTGGTTTGAACGCGGTTGCCCAATTCCCTCACCCATGTGGACTTCTTTGTTGGGTCATGTCAAAGAAAAGCTCTAAACCAAGAAAGTATGATGTGACTGACCCGAGGAACTGCATGCAGGGAAACATGGCACAAGAAAATGTTAATGAACACGTGAAGGAAGGACATGAATATTTCTGACAAAAGACATTACCACAAAAAGTACTTGTAATGAGTTGATGCTGGAGGGGGGTTCATGGTATTAAAGTACTTTGCTACTGAATTATGAAAGATTCCCTTTGAGTCATACCTTCATGGACACCCTGTACATTGAGAACAGGATTTAATTTGAGGGATCAGAATTTATCGCATGAAGTGAATATGTTCAGCGACGGTATTCCCACCTGCATTGCCATCGTATCGTGTGTTTTATATTTTTATTGATTTATTTAATTTTGTGTAACATTCACCATTGTCTATGCATCGCCTATGTCCATGTGCAGTTGCCCTTAGGATATTCACCAGCAGTAATTATGGTCACAGTTTACTGAAGGATGCATGGTGGCTTGAAAATTGACCGTAGATGTCCGCAGCGGGATTCTGACAGCTGTTATTTATTAGTAACTTCTTTCGCTGTATAGGCATCGTAATTCATGTCTTTTAAGAAAAAGCAATAATTATAGGTTGGAATCTGTGCCCTGATGAGCAATCTCTCATCTGCTCTTTCGTGAAAGAAGTGCCAGTAGTATGAAATGGTAAAAAATTTCCTAATTTCGTTTCGTAAGAGAAAGGAACTTCAAATGATATCAAACGAAGCACTTGGTATGCATGTAAAATATTGCCAAAGAAAGTACTAGTTCAGAAACGCCCTATGGAAATTAGGGAACCCCCTCCGAACCATCATGATGAAGGTGTTGAACAGTGGCGAGTCCACAGACCCGAGTGACTTGATCCCCAAGGAGGATCACGTGAAGATCCTCGAGGCCATCTGCGAGGCCAGCAAGTCTCAGCAGAGGTCCTCACTTGGCTCATGAGTGCTGCCCTCGGTCGTTTTTAATCGTGATGACGCTTTCTTCTTCCTGGCAACTCATATCTGGAATGCTGAGGGGGGTGGGTGATGAAAACTGTCACTTATGGTCACAGCTGTGTGGCTCCTCTCTTGGTTCTGCTTGTGTCGCCGTTTTGTAAAAACTTGTTCAAAGGCGTTCTGGGAACAAATAGAGAAGCATCCTTTGCTGAGGAAGTAACTTCAGCCAATTATTAACAAAAACTTTTCAGTTCTTTTAGTTAGTTATGAAAACCATGACTAACCAGAAGTGATATAGTGTCAGATTAGCTGGTTTCTGAAAAACCAGGCTGATCAAAGTGGAGTACAAGTGCTACTCAACCTCGGAATGCAGGTTTCATATGACGTTATTTCCTCATACCAGGAAGCCTGGTATAGTTTTTCTGCATTGCTGATGCTCCTGTTCAGTCGACTTGAAGTTTATAGTTTTCGGACCGGTTTGAATGAAGGAAACATTTCTCTTGAAATGTTCTTCATTAATGAAGTTTCCCATGTGTATGACTTGAGCCCATTTCTAGCTAGATGGGAAAATTGTTGAACTAAGAATTAATTATGAATTCTTCCTTATCCTGCCTCATTTCATCTATGATTTCACTATTATCTTTTGTATGACTAGCTCAATAGCAGTGTGCTGATCATAGTTGAAGTTCAATTCGAATGCATATTCTGCATGAGGTTGAGCTGCCACTCTGTTTCTCACTGATGATTCACTCTAAATTTTTGCTTCTGGTTAGTCGTCATGTTTAAGTTGGAAGGAATTGTGTTTCTACAAGGATGCTGTAGAATTTGTCAATTATGGCAACATTTCTCTTGCTGAATATGATGTAAGTGCAGTCACGGTTGCATCAGTGTATCATCACAGGTGTCAGAGCTGTCACTGATTTCATAGCCTTGCATGGACGCACAAACTCAGGAGTGTGGAATCCGAAGCTGGGGCTCATAAAAGGCAATTTGTGACTGCAAGTTTTGTCATTTCGTTCTATCACTCATTGGTCTTGGTTTGGCTCCATCTGAAGTGTTCATAGCGTTACTTACACGGGACTCTCGGTGCCTTCGTGGGAATTAGTTGCCGGCGCTGATGCTGATTACTCTCTGTTGCTACTGATGAGTCATTTGTGTATGAATTTGTCACCTGTCTTTGTTGAGTCATTGTTATGGGCTGTGTCATGAGTCAAGACAATACAACCCATGTGATTACCAGTGGTACCTTATAAGGACTATTCTTTTATTATGTTTGCCCATTTCAGTGCTGGAGATCCCCAGATGTTCATGTCTCTGATCTTAGTGCTCTCAATTTATGAAGTTGAACCCATGGGACAGTGGCAGCATTTGGTCTGTTATGTGATCTTCACTGGATGCACAAGCACCATTAAATTGTAGTAATTTTTGATGCAAGGTGAAGACTCCACATGATTCGATTTTCTCTTGATGATGGCAGGAAAAAGCCTGAACTTCTTGCAGCAGGAGTAATTCAAAGGTTAGGACAATGTAACTGCAGTCTGTTGCCCTCACGAAAAGAAATTTGTGGGATGAAGGTGGGAATAGCGTTCTCCATCTCATAATTGAAGAGAATTTTCTTCACGAAGGAACTGATGGAAGTTTATAGAGGGTGCCATGAAGTTATAGATAAAAGATAGTCTGCCATAATTCAGTAGCTAAGTGCTTTATTGTTGTGAAACCCCCCCATCCCTAAACGCACCACCTGCACAGTGTGGTAAGGCCTTAAATAAGTGGTAAGTTAGCTGACCGGGGAATCGAGCCCCATCGTTCACACCACCTGTGGTGGTTTGAACACGGTTGCCCAATTCCCTCACCCATGTGGACTTCTTTGTCGGGTCATGTCAAAGAAAAGCTCTAAACTGAGAAAGTATGATGTGACCGACCCGAGGAACTGCATGCAGGGAAACATGGCACAAGAAAATGTTAATGAACACATGAAGGAAGGACATGGATATTTCTGACGAAAGACGTTATCAAAAAAAGTATGTGTACAGTAATGAGTTGATGCTGGAGGGGGATTCATGGTATTAAAGTACTTTGCTACTGAATTATGAAAGATTCCCTTTGAGCCATACCTTCATGGACACCCTGTACATTGAGAACAGGATGTAATTTGAGGGATCAGAATTTATCGCATGAAGTGGATATGTTCGGCGACGGTATTCCCACCTGCATTGCCATCATATGTGTTTTAGATTTATATTTATTTATTTAATTTTTTGTAACATTCACCTTTGTCAATGCATCGCCTATGTCCATGTGCAGTTGCCCTTAGGATATTCACCAGCAGTAATTACGGTCACAGTTTACTGAAGGATGCATGGTGGCTTGAAAATTGACCATAGATGTCCGCAGCGGGATTCTGACGGCTGTAATTTATTAATAACTTCTTTCGCTGTATAGGCATCGTAATTTATGTCTTTTAAGAAAAAGCAATAATTATTGGTTGGAATCTGTACCCTGATGAGCAATCTCTCATCTGCTCTTTCGTGAAAGAAGTGCCAGTAGTATGAAATGGTCAAAAATTTTCTAAATTTCGTTTCGTAAGAGAAAGGAACTTCAAATGATATCAAACGAAGCACTTGGTATGCATGTAAAATATTGCCAAAGAAAGTACTAGTTCAGAAACGCCCTATGGAAATTAGGGAACCCCCTCCGACCTATTCGAAGGTCCTGCCATGATGCTTGGTCTTATTTCTTTGTTTCTGTCTGTCGTGAGAAAGGAGTGGATATCTTTATTTGTGCTTATACCTATCATTATGCCCTCACTCCCGTCATGGACGAAGAAATTAATGCCTGTTCTTGCACCCCTCGTTCCCATTTCTCGAGGGCAGAGGTGCTGATTAGCACGTTGGGCGATCGGAAATGTATAATTTACGTGAATTATACAATTGTTATTACTGAATTAATTATTATGAATTAACCCATGTCAAATGATGCGCATAGAGATGGAAGAAATTCTCCAATAC